CACCATCATCCCCACCACCATCATCACCACCATCATCCCCACCATCACCACCATCATCCCCACCACCATCACCATCACCATCATCCCCACCACCATCACGCTAACCTGCTGAACATTACATGTTTTTATGATTTGCAAATAAAGCTGCAACTAATAAAACTCTCAGATCAGAGTCACGGAGCAAATAGAACTTTTAGAGATTCCGACCACGTTTTTTTTGCCGCTGATACTAACTGATGATCTAATTTGCCACCTTCTTAAAAAAATCATTTCAACACTCCGAAGTCAGTAAACCATCAAAAATACTAAATGTTATACTTTTACTTTGTTATAGTCATTTATAGTGTTTTTTTTCTTCATAAAAATACAATTCAAATGATTAGGAAGGAAAAGATTGTATTTTTATGGATTAAAACACGTCATTATTTTTAATGATGTATAATGTTCTTAGAGCTCGTGCTAGGAAGTTAAATGGCTCATAATTCATCTCTAAAATCTATTTTATATTCATGTGAAAACATCTCCTTCAAAACTACTGGATCTATTCACGTTCATCACCAAATAGCACGAAGCTAACAGCTAACGATGACGGAGGTTGCGTTGACTCGAGTGGAAAATGAAAATGACTGGTGAAGTGTTTTCCAGGTTTTTTAAGGACGGATGGAACCCTGATTATTTTTACATAGTGTATGTATGGCGCTGCTCGCTCTCCGTACCATTCAAACCACCTCCTGTCGTTCATCGTTTGGTTGCTGCTGAGCAACAGACAAGTTTCTTATAATCAAAAACGCTTTCTGTGAATGGTCTCCTTCTCTGTGTTCAGGCTGTAGAGTTAGAGCATTAGGAGAAGAGGTTAACGGAGAGGTAGAAGACGGGATGTTAGAGGCAGACCAACGCTCACCTTCTGGATGAATCACAAACAGCCTCTTCAGAGAGTTGTAGGTTCCGATCTTGATCGTCCCGTAAGAAGCTTGTCTCAACAGAGCCGGAGAAATCCTGAGAGGGGGAGAAAGAATGTTCATTAACTTGAACCCCGGAGGGAAACTGAACACCTAACTGTGTTCACATCAACAACATTGCAGTCTCAATGAGGATAAAGATCACTCAAAGGCAGAGATGACTCTGAACCGCTTGACTCACAGCTGCTGCTTTGAAAGTCAGAGAGAAGCTGGAATGCATTTCCTGTTCCTGTGAGCTGCTTCTTTCAGGTCTGAAGTTGGACTCAGCGACGTCACAGTTTTAAAACACCCACAAACTGCAACAGCTCTGTGTGCAAAGCTTGTTACTGCACAAGCTGTTTCCATCCACACGGAGCACCGTGTGTGAGTTTGTATCTGTTATCACATCACGAGCTTGTAGATAGAAGAAGAAAGACTGAACCACCAACACTTTACTCCTTCATGTGCAATATCGATGTACATATGTGCAATACAAACACTTCATACTACCTCATATGTGCAATAATGTTGTATTTTTAGCTTCTTTTTTTGCGTTTTACATATTTATTATACCTTTACTGTTTGACTATTTATTTTCTTGTTTTGTTGTCTGCTGATATCTCTTGTTGTTTTGTCCACTTTGCTGCTGTAATCCTGTAAATGTCTCGGCTGTGGGACGAATAGAGGATTCTCTCATCTTAAACTCGTAGGAGAGTGAATCTTCCAGCATCTCATGATTGGATTTTATTTCTTGTTTTTCTCTCATCCACAGAACCGCTGCAGTCTGTCTCTTTTAAAAAGGAAGCAGACAGCAGAACCTGACTTTACTTTTAATGTTATCAAACTAAAATAAATGCTCTCTCCTCCTAAATCCATACTAGAGTACTCCCCTGTTTTAAGAATGAAGAGGTACACCAGATGAAGCAGACCCCACCCTGAAAGTTCTTGAACTTCCCCTCACATTGAGGGTAAAATGTCCCCAGAACGCTGGTTCCTGCAGTTCCTCCATGGTGAAGGTTCCTGCGGTCCAACAGAAGCTAAAGAGTGTATCTGACTTCATACAGACCCTAAAGAAATGTCTTCCATACCCAGAGTAGAGCGCTCGGATGCCCTCCTCCTTGCCGATCTTGAAGAGGGCGTGGAACATGCCTCTGTAGCGCACCTCCGTGTACTGGGACTGACCCTGGACCTGTAAGCGAGTCTTTGTCAGGTCAATGGGAAAGGTCCCTGAGGATTCAAAATATAAGAATAAGAACGATCACAATCAATGTAGTGGATTCATAGCAATGCTGCAGTTGATCATGATTCTGTATGGAAGATATTTTGCATCAAATATTGATGAAATATCAAATTGATACGGCCAAGTAGACTATTCAGGAACCGCTTTCTTTTTGTGTAACACCAATAAATGAAAAGCACCATGAATACATACAAAAAAATAACCAGTAGAACTAAAAATGTTTGAGTAATTTCCTTAATTAGCAAAAAGAAACTTGGGAAATGGTTAATATATCTACTAAATCATGGCGCTCACGTTACGTTAACAACTGAGTGACGCCTCAAGATGTGTATGTTTACATTAGTATCATCTGTTTTCTATTTTTCGGTACTCTTTAATGTCTTTAGTTTGCCGTGTTGACGGGTCTAGCTTTGTAGGGTCCATGTCAAATTTATATATTTATGTATATATCAATCTTTCCATCTATCTAATCTGGTGGGTACTAACTGCCACTTTAATTACCGTGCTATTTAAATTACACTATAAAGTAAGTAAACAGTGTGGATGTGTGTACCAACACACTGACCAGATTTCTAACTTGGTAAATCGTGTACACCTGCAGTTACGGGACAAGACAACGCACACAATGTGCACCAAAGAGCTTTGATATGCATTTATTTATTTATGCATGTCTGGCGACGTGTCTGCAAAAACAAAGACTATTTGCTGCAATGGAAGTACAGCAAACACCATAAATATCCATGATTCATTGGGATGTCTGTGTGTGGTGGTGGTGCATCACGTAGCTCACCGAATTCTGCGACAATCGAGGCCATCCCTCCGTAGATGAACGGCTTCCAGTTGAGGTCGATCATCTCCGCGGTGCCGGCTGCTGCTGCTTCCACCTGCTGCAGACCCGCTACTAGAAACAACAGCAGGCATAAGTCAACCCAGTGGTGCAGCCTCAGACAATACAACATGGCGATAAACACTGTTTCTGGTGATGCTACAGATCAATGCGAAGCTCCTCAGCATCAGCATCCCCCAGCGAACTGCGCCGGAAAGAGAGAGAGAGCGAGGGAGCCGTCATATTTGTAGCTGGGGGGGTCGCTATTGGCTGCCAGTTCAGTCAATCAAGATTCTAAGAGAGTTGATTGGCTGATGCGCCGGGGAAAGAGAGAGCCGTCATATTTGTAGCCGGGGGTCACTATTGGCTGCGAGTTCAGTCAATCCAGATCCTAAGAGATTTGATTGGCTGATGCGCCGGGGAAGAGGCGTTCTGCGAATGACAGCAACAGTGTCACGAGAATTAAATTAAAAGAGATGATATATACAATTAATTATTTTAGCTGTGATGTAAGAATTTTAAAAGCTTAAAATCGCGTTTTTTAAATTTATTTATGAGAAATGACCGTTACTTTAACCGTTAACGGTTGGCTCATTGCTAAGCTAACGGCTAGTCGGCTAACACTTGTTGGAAATTACTAGCGAGCTTATTAACGGGCTCACCAGTTAGCGACTAGTAATTTGTCACGTACCTGTTGAGTCGATAAAATCCGTTAAACTGCTATTTGAGTTGGTTTTCCATGATTTAACAGCCTTACTTGAATAAGAAGTACAAGAAAGTTAGCTTCTCATTGTAGCTAATGTCAAATAAACCTGAAATGAGCTTCTTCTTCGCCTTTTTTCTTCTTCTTCTCTTTGAGGTTTAACGGCAGCACACACACACACACACTCATTACCGCCATCTTCTGGAGGTAGTTAACTCCTCTTGATCAGTTCTTTCTCCCATCACGTCCTTTCACTCCTTAGATTGCGACTTTGTTGAATTATAATAATAAAAATGATATTAATAATATTAAACTTTATTATTTTTCATTATTATATATATTTTTTACTATTTTATTATTATTATTTATTTACAATAAAGGAAAATAGACCGAGAATGAAAATCAGACACAAAAAGCCATAATGGAATATAAGATGGAAAATCAAACACACATTGTAATATAACAATAGGATGAAATCAAATTATATAATATGGAAAATAAAATACAATGAATAATAATAATAATACAAAATAAAATTCAGTATTGTATCATACTCAGGTGTTTTCAATATTTTGTCCACCCCATTTAAATGTAAGAGGGTAGGCGCACAACATACAGTAAATTAGTTATTTTGTCCTAAAATATGTATTTATTATCTATTCATGTATTAGTGTAATTATGTTGTTAAACGATAATAAGACACAAAGGCTTTTTAAAGAAATGTATTGTTGATTTTTTTTTATGTGAATATCGGAGTTGATCTGTTTATACTCTTTAAAAAACAATAATATTATCCGGACACACCTGCTGTCCTTAAATACTGTTTAGGGTGAGAAATAAGCCATAAAGTCATCAATTGTGTCATCTCAATAGACAATGGTCATACAGCCCAAAGTTAATTCATCTCTCAACTAAGAACACCTTGTTGTTTTTACAACCAAAACTTTTTCTTGCAACACCCATCTTTTTCTGACACCAATGAATAAACGGATAGTGAGACTGTCCTCAGCAAAACAAAACTTCTGCCGTTGTTTTGTTGAAATGGCAAATAATTGACCGTATTTTCTACAATAGAAACCTTTTTCATTGCCATGAGCACCACATGAGCGTCGAAGCACAAACCTCTGAGATATAAAAAAAAATGCATAAATAAAACTAAAACCAACAGCAAGTAACTCTTATAGGGACAGTGTGTGTGCGTTTTCGCGTCAGGCCATCGTAGTTCTCCTACACGCTTGGCACACAGGAGAAGTTTGTCGGTTGCAATCTGCAACCTCGCCGCTAGATGGCGCCAAATTCTACACTGGCCCTCTTTGCACCGCCCCCTCTAACAAAGACTGGCCAATCATAGCGTAGCTTCGTCGAACTCTGACCAGGGTCCCACAACTATCGGTCTCTGCTCCATAGACTCTCATCAGTGGTTCCAGATGTTCTTCATGTTCAGGCTGGTTTAGTGGGGTTCCTCATGTTAAACGTGTAATAGTGACACTCGTTACCCGGAGAGGCTGGAAGGAGACAAACGTTTCTAGAACGTCATGTTTCTAAATTAAAAACCAGTGGCGCTAACGTTAGCAGAGTACGTTGGCACATTGTTAACTAGAGTTAGCACTTCTATGCTACGCTAGCTACTGAAGGTATACTGAATGTGTCTTAATGATGGTAACAGTGAATAAAGAGGAACAGAGTTGCTTCTTAGTTTCATTGTCTTCTGTCTGGATCTCCAGCTGATGTGTTGGTTCACTTTTACACTTTAGCTTCTATCTTTATCTGTTTAACCTGTTTACACTGAAGAATCACTTTGACATCCTGGATATTTACTTCAAACACATATTGTAGACCTTTCTGTCTGCTTCTCTCTCAAATCGCCTTTTTCCAAGAATTGGATAACATTTCTTCGGGGAGTGCAGTTAGTGACAGTGTGGGCTCCACGGTAACGTAGCTCGGACGGCTTCACGGAGTGGCAGCCGGGGGTTCGACTCTGATTATCCTCAAGTCCCCTTTGGACGATATCACATATTTTCTTGAAAATTAATTCATGCATGATGACTTTGGGTAGTTCTTTTTAACCAGATATTGGACCTGTGAAGACCTTTAGTATGTTTGTTTGAAGCCCAGTAAAAACCGATGCAGGGAAGAAGATTTGCGTTACATTAAAACAATACAGCCACTCGTTTTAAGCTGCAACATACTGGTTACAAGCCTGTTTTTAACCTTCATTCAGCAAACCCTCAAAATCTCCACCTCACACGGCAGATACACACATTGTTAATCTACATCAGTAAAAAAAATGTTCAGACACTCTTTTGCTTCCGACTCTGAAATATAGTCAGTAGCCGGAGCCCATTGCAGAAGAGTTGGTGGAAACTTCAAAGTCCAAGAGTGGAGTGGGACCACTTCCTCTTCCTCTGTTTGTTCTTCTTCTTCTCTTCTAACCGCCGATGCACTACCGGAGGGCATGCCTGGCAACAGCCACAGCGGCCGTGGACAGGTACCAGGTTTTTTTAGAGAGTGGTGCGCAGCATTCGGATGACATGCTGGTAAAGCTGCTGGAAGACCGATGATAGATTCCTGATGGAAGTTAAGAAGAAGAGTGAGAAATGAACAGAGGCGTGAGGTCACAGTTTCTGAGCTTTTGCACTGCTAATAAAGGCATCAACCAATCACGTTGTGAGGAACGGACAACATGGAGGCTTCGTAGTCCGAAACCAAGATGGCAAAGTTTATTACTCCTTTCAACCTTGACAAAGGCAGCGCACGATTCAGATTCACTCCTTTGGTTCTTACCTTTCACAATAAAAGCCCAGACATATATGCGCTTAGAAGTAAGATGGATTCTTCCTGAAGGGCTGAGGACCCAGGACCCTTGACTTCTGGAGAACTCCTTTTTGAATAAAAGGTTTTTCAAGTGTTCTTTGGATGATAGAGGGTTCTTAATGGAACCCTTAGACCTACAAAGAACCCTTGAAAAACCCTTTGTGAGATGAAAGGTTCCATTAAGAACAATTGTCATCCAAAGGACCTTCTTTTGGAAGAAAGAGTTCTTCAAGGATTGTTAAAAGCACGGGTGTTAAAAGAGAATACCTACAAAGTGTTCGAGAGGAAACTCTTGAACTATAAAATGGTTCTCGGTAGAACTGCCTGGTTGGGTTCTAGAAGAAACCCTTGGAATATTAAAGGGGTTTCGGGTAGAACCCCCTGGGTGACTTCTATAGAAAACCCTTGAAATACAAATAGGTTCTTGATAGAATCCCCTGGGTGGGTTCTTGTTAGCACCACTAGAAGGTGTTAAGGTTCTGGATAGACCCAGTAAACTATAAAAGGTATCTGGGTGGAACTTTGTTCTAGGTACAACCCTTTATGTTGGGTTCTAGGTAGAACCCTCTGAAAGGCTCCAAGGTGAACATTCATACGAACATGCATGCTACAGTGTGTTTTTTGTAATGTATGAATGTCTACATATAAAAACACAAAAACTCTGGTCTTCTACTCACCGAGCTCCGTTGGAGAAGCAGTTGCTGCGGTTTGGATGGATGCAGAAGAGCGAAGCCACGCAGTAAACACAGCACAACAACATGGACAGCAGCCGTCGCTTTAAGGACATCTTCGGTCTGATAGAAACACAAATGCAACCACTCCCACGTTGTCTGCAGCAGAATAAGAACAGGAAATGTGTTCAGACAACTTACGCTACACAAGAGCAGAGAGAAACAACACTCTTTCTTGGGCTCTTATTTTGAAAGTCTAGCATGTTACTCCAAGATTTTGGGACTGTATATAGGAAGTGGACGTAGTCACCGTGATGTCACCCATTAGTTTGTGGACTACAGTTTTCTAGCCTCAAGTTCAACAGTTTGCCCGTCGCGATCTTGTTTTTTTTGGAACCAGAAGTGACACGAGAGGGCGGAGCTAAGCACTGAAACGCTGAATAAGACGTTCTTTAGGCGACCAAAATGCTACAGTTAACTTTCATCAACTGAAAACACACTGTGAAAGAGTTAAAGTTGTAAGACAAAAACAAACAAAAACGCAAACAACTCTGAGACTGGAACACAGTGCTAGAGACCTGTCAATCACCGTGTAGCCCCGCCCTAAAGCATCCCCTGCTTTATGGTCTGTTTGACTCTAAATGGACCATAATGTACTAAATGAACATCATGCTGTATTGAAGAAGACTTGAAACTAGAGATTGAGACCATAAACTCATGTTTACAATGTTTACTGAGGTAATAAATCAAGAGAGAAGTAGAGTCATTTTCTCATAGACTTCTATACAACCAGAGGAGTCGCCCCCTGGTGGACACTAGAGAGAATGCAGCTTTAACACATGAAGCTTTGGCTTCCTTGTGATTGACAGGTCGCTGCTGCTACCAGAGCCATATATGGCGTCTCGACATCATACCTCCTCAATCCAAACATGGTCACTTCCTGTTCATCAGTTGCAAAAAAGCCAAGATGGCGACGGACATAAAATTGCCGAACTCGAGGCTTCAAAACGTTAGTTAAAAACCCCTGCTCCTGCCGAAGGCCACAAATCACTCACATAACATCATCATCATCACCTTAACAATCCTGCAGATAAGACAGACTGATCTTCCAAAACTGGAAAAGAAAAACCTCCTCTCTTTGGATGAAATAAAACAAAGGCCCCCGTCTTCTTGGACACAGATCCCAGGTGGAGTTACAAGAATCCGTGGGAGCAGTTTGGAGGATGGCGTTGGCAGAGGTGTAAACAGGAACCACTGGGTGCTGCTGGGCACCGGGCACAATTACTGCTGACCCACGCTTTGTTTTGAAAGGTCCTGAAAGGTCTAGCAGGGGTGAATAACATTCCTACATTGTGCGTCTGTTGGAGCTATTTTGGTTTGTTGGGAGGGAAGAGGGAGGAGGGGGGGGGGATGGTATTAAAAAAGAGAATCTTTCCTTTGGACTCACGTTGCTGGCTGAGACTGTTGTGTCGAGGTTTGAGGTGGGTCCGGTTTAACTCTCGAATCGTAGAATCAGCGTCTGATTTAATGACAAGACCCAGAAAGAATGGATTGCTTGGACTTTACAACAGTTTTATTTTGCGGAGAGCAAAGAAAAAATATTTTCTGTTAATATAACAACCGTTGCAGAAGATGCAATTTCAAAACAACACAGGGGAGCTTTATTAATTTATTTTTCATGAAACAACTATCAATGCATCCCAAAATAAATGAGTGAAGTATGACGATACCTTTGCCTGGCTACAAAACATCATTCACAGCTATATCTATGAAAATGAATGCACTGTAATTTGTAGATATCCCAAGAAATCAATTTGTTTGAAATCCACTGAACCATGAAACCAGGAAGTATGAAGACTGGGGAAAAAAACATAATCTTTCATCCAGGAGGCCGCTGGTCGTTCCACGTGTGAAACGAGAAGTCAAACTAGAGATGGACGGCACAAACTCATCTTTACAATGTTTACTGAGGTGATAAATCAAGTGACAAGTCTGACCTGCAGACAATGATACTGTTTCCCAGGTTCAGCATATTTAGCATGTTAGCATGCTAATTAGCACTAAACAAAAGTATTGGAGGAATTTAAATTGTGACCTGATGATGGGCTTTAGATGAAAAGGGATGAAAAGTCTGAGGATTTGACATCATTAAAGTTAATACAAGGAACTTTAATTTAGTGTTGGTTCTGTTGGTCCCTGTGGACTAAAGTGGTAGTGTCTCTGAGCACCAGAGTCCCTTTAGAGAACCTCTCATTCTACTGCAGCAGGGTCTGACAGTCTGCTCCTCTCAGTCCTGGTTCTGGTTCTGCCGTTGCCTCCTTTCCCTCCAGCAGGTCCAGCAATACGTCCTGGGTCTCCAACAGTGAGGTGTTGGTGTTGACTCCCAGAGAGGAGAAGCTCTGCTCCTGGAGGAGGAGGAGGAGGAGACGCTGCATACCGGGAGCTGAGCTCTCCTCCTCCCTCCGGAGCTCTGGATCCGGGTCTGTCCACGGTGGACCGGTCTCTGCTGGAGGATCTGGGTTTGTCCATCTTACCGACTGTAGCTGCTACTCACTGAAGCAGCTGTGATGCCAGGTGATGCTCTGAGTGTTTCTGGTCTGGAGATTTATGCTAATTTCCACACATATATTGATCAAATAATGCATCATTTGCATATTTAGAAAATTTGCTATTAATTAATTTCTTGTCCTATCTGTCTTTAATTCATTTGTGTTCATGGAAACATGTTAAATAAAGTTATGTTCAGTTATGTCAGGTTTGGTACTTCACGGCGCATGAGCACCAACCAAGATTTTGTTTAAAACAAAAAGTATATTCTTGGTTAAAAATTATAAGTAGAAGTTTAAAAATAGAGATTTTCCTGCTGGGAGCTGGGACAAGGGTCAATCCAGCAGCAACTGATGAGCAGCGGAAGGGTTTGCATGTGTGTGCGTGTCTATAGACAGTATGTGTGTGAGTGTGTGTGTGTGCGTGTCTATAGACAGTATGTGTGTGAGTGTGTGAGTGTGTGTGTGTGTGTCTATATACAGTGTGAGTGTGTGTGGTAGAGGGGAGGGGACAGGCGAGACCTGCTGATGATGAGTGTTTCTGTCCTTCTGCATTTGTTAAACGGGATTCTAAGGACTCAGGTGAGACCGGTTGGATCGAATGGATGTTGGAGCAACAGATTACCTCCCTTAAACTTTTGATGTGAGTCACCGTGGAAACGTCACACGGCACTAGATCAACAAAACGGGACTCTTCAATGTCGCGGTGACCGCACACACCGGCGTGGCACTCCTCAGCCAATGAAGTGCTGTCACATGTCGCCTCTTGGAGTTCTTTGACATTTTAGTTTTTGAGCCAACAACTGCTGCAAAGGCAATGTCAGCTCTGTGGATTTCCCCTTAAAATCCTTTTTTTGGGGTCATATTTGAGTGCCGAGCCCGCTGTCAGCATGATTCCCGACGGGTCGGCGGCGCAGAGCGACGTGAGGCGGCGGGTGATGGGCGTGATCCTGAGCATCGCCTCCTGCCTCATCATCTCCACCAACCTGCTGGTGGCGGCTGCTCTGCTGAAGCTGCTCCTGAGAAAGAGAAGCCAGAGCTGGTGCTTCGTCCTCAACTTGGCGCTGGCCGACGCCCTGGTGGGCGTGGCCATCACGGGCCTGGCCACGGAGGACTTCAACGGCAACGACGCCGCTCAGAACCAGCGGAGCCTCGTCGGGGCCGCCGATCCGCCCACCAACGCCACGCCCCCCGCTCAAGGCAAGGCCCGGTGTTTGATGCGGATGGCCTTCGTGACGTCGCCCTGCACGGCGTCCATCATGTCCATGTTCCTGATCTCGCTCGACCGCTATGCGGCCATCAAGATGCCGCTGCGGTACTCCCAGCTGTCTGGAAAGGGGACGGCCGTCGGGTCCATGCTGGCTCTGTGGATCAGCTCCCTCACGATGGGATTCTTGCCAGGTGAGAATGAAAAAACATAATGCGGTTCTCATACAGCGTTCATAGCTATACCTGCGAAAAATGATGCGTGTAAAGACTACAAAACCCCACACAGGGCGGGTGTGTGAAACAAGAAGTCAACGTTAATTTATCTGCCATGTAAGTTGCATACTTCAGTTAAGCCACTTCCTTCGTTATTTTAACCCAAACCACAATCTTTAACTAACGCTAACTAAGTAGTTTTGTTGCCTAAACCTAACAAAGTATTTCACAATATTTTCCTAAACCTAACCAAGTA